GAAACTGGCCCACAGTTTTGTTATAACCAATGCCTGCTGTAGATATGTGCACTCACAGAAAGAACGCTGTGTGGCCAATGGGATATGTAAACAAATATTGTTACATATCAAATGCATTGTGCTACAGTTTTAAAAAACTTTCACCGCAATGCCGATCCCCACTTGACAACCCATATATATTTTTTACCACTTTGTATTTGACCCAATTTTTTTCTTATAAACGATTGGATGCCGGTTCAAGGTTCCGCACGCTTTCCCACTGGGGGGCTCTCACTCGCGAGGATGCTCCCGTGCCGAGGCCCTGCGCTCACCTTGGCCAAGAACCACAACAGCTGCTGCTACAGCTGTTGCTGCTACAGCTGTTGCTGCTGTTACAGATGCTGTTGCTGTTACAGATTCTGCTGCTGCTACAGATTCTGCTGCTGCTGCTACGGATTCTGCGGGTGCTACGGATTCTGCGGGTGCTACAGATGCTGCTGCTACAGTTACAGCTGCTGCTACAGCTGCCCCTACGGTTGCTGCAGCTGCCATAGCTACCGCTACTGCTACAGCTGCTGCAACAGCTGCTGCTACAGCTGCTGCAACAGCTGCTGCTACAGCTGCTGCTACAGCTGCTACTACAGCTGCTGCTACAGCTGCAGTAACAGCAGCAGTAGAAGCGGGTAAAACGTGTCTGGCCGGATTTTCTCGCGCCGTCTCGTCCGCCAGGCCAATTACCTGTCCCGTCCAGCGCGCAGGGAGCTCGCTGTGTGCGCTTCTCCAGCCACTCACCACCGGCCAGAAAGACCAAGCTGGAGCCCACAATGCGGAATAGACCGCACGTCTCGCCCCCGCTTAGCAATGTCGCGGTGATGTCATCACGGTGCTTGTGCCAGGCTAGGTGTACCCTTGAGCCTGCGCGAAGCGTCAAAGGCTCGATGGCAGGTCACGAGATAGACCCCACGTGTTTCGGGGGTTGACTGAGATGACTGACAGATGCACAACCTGTGCCCCCCACCCCCCCCAGTGCCAACTCGCAGTGCCTGGCGCTCCACTCGTTGCGAGCATCGCTCCTCTGTTGTTGGAGGGCGACTGCCTCCAACTGCCCAAGTAGCAGCGTCCTTCACGAGCCTCCTTTATAGAGACCGATCTTGACACCCCTGGTACCAGTCATCGGCAAGTCCAATCAGCTCCACATCCTCCGGTACCGCATCATAGCCCGTGTCGCGCCAATTCAGCCCCCTCTATCACGCCAAACAGAAGCTGCATTGGCATGCGGTGGCTGGGCATGTGGGCTACGTGACCCTGCCAACGCAGCCTCGCTTGCTGGAGGAGCTCACCGATGGGACTGTGTCCAGAACTTTTAAGGATATGCGAGCTCTTCACACATTCCAGCCTAATTAAGCCCAGAAGGGATCATTGGGCAGGCCATTCTGAATGTTTCAAAACGGAGCAAATGTTCCTTCAGAGGGGGGGGGGGGGGGGTCCACGTTTCCCAAGCGTAGAGGGAGGGCATCAACTTTGGCCGAGAAGACCCGCGGCTTCGTATTGTAGTGACATGCCGGGTAGCTTCCACATAGCGTTACGCAGCTGACAAACAGAAAACGCCGCTCGACTGATTTGGGAGACTGCTGCCAAACCAGAGTTGGTCAGGTATGGAAACTACTCCACTCTCTCAACACCAATCCATCACTCACGGGGAGTTGAGGTGTTTAAGTATTTGATGACGTAAAATATCCCGGCAGGTGCCCATTTGTGGTGGGGCTGATGGTCAGGCACCCAGCTCCAGGTTCAGCAGCAGAGCCTCCAATTCTTCACAACGAGCAGCAATTACCACATCATCAGCATCCATAACACGGTTGAGCAGTAAGGAGCCATCGCTTGGGAGGCTCTATCAGCCTCCCATTGTACCTGCTGTACCAGAGAGACATTGACCACACCACGGATAATCACACACACACACACAGAAGGTATCACACACACCACACAACGATCCCCTGGACAGCCGCACACAACCACACACACAGCAATACAGGTCACACCACAGTACACACACACACACACAACCACTACCCTACAACCAGACAAACACACTACAATCCCTACCCTACAACCAGAGACACACCGCACACAACCACTACCCTACAACCAGAGACACACCACACTACAACCACACAACACACATAACCACACGACACACAGCAATACACGTCACACCACAGTACTTACACACACACAACCACTACCCTACAACCAGACACAAACACACTATAATCACGACCCTACAACCATACACACACCACACTACAACCACACTCACAACCACTACCCTACAACCAGACACACACCACACGACAACCACTACCCTACAACCAGACACACACCACACTACAACCACACTCACCACACACACACAACCACTACCCTACAACCAGACACACACCACACGACAAGCACACAACACACGACACACAGCAATACACCCCACACCACAGTACACACGCACACACACAACCACTTACTTACAACCACACACGCACACTACAATACCAACACCCGCCATTCGCCACTAAGTAACGGTGATGTCACCACGGTGCCTGTGCCAGGCCAGGTGCACTTCTAGGCCACGTCAAGTGTCGAAGGCTCACTGCTTACAGGAAGGTCTCGGGACTGACCCAGCAGGTGCATTGGGTTGGCTGACTGAGATGACCGGTAGATGCACACTAGCTGGACCCCACTACTTTGTCAACTTGCTCAATTTTATCCGCCCGGCGGACAGCTCGTTGTTGTGAGCGTCGCTCCTCTGCGTTCCGTTGTTGCCTCCAACTGCCCAGTAGCAAAGTCCTCCACGAGCCCCCTCCATACTGCAACCACAATACAACCACTCACTCACAATACAAACACTCACTCACAATACAACCACTCACTCACAATACAACCACGCACTTACAATACAACCACTCACCCACAATACAACCACTCACCCACAATACAACCACACACCCACAATATAACCACTCACCCACAATACAACCACTCACTCACAATACAACCACTCTTCCACAATACAACCACTCACAATACAACCACTCACAATACAACCACTCACCCACAATACAACCACTCACTCACAATACAACCACTCACCCACAATACAACCACTCACTCACAATACAACCACTCACCCACAATACAACCACTCACTCACAATACAACCACTCACTCACAATACAACCACTCACCCACAATATAACCACTCACCCACAATACAACCACACACCCACAATACAACCACTCACTCACAATACAACCACTCACAATACAACCACTCACCCACAATACAACCACTCACCCACAATACAACCACTCACTCACAATACAACCACTCACTCACAATACAACCACTCACCCACAATACAACCACTCACCCACAATACAACCACTCACCCACAATGCAACCACTCACTCACAATACAACCACTCACCCACAATACAACCACACACCCACAATATAACCACTCACCCACAATACAACCACTCACCCACAATACAACCACTCACTCACAATACAACCACTCACCCACAATACAACCACTCACTCACAATACAACCACTCACTCACAATACAACCACTCACCCACAATATAACCACTCACCCACAATACAACCACACACCCACAATATAACCACTCACCCACAATACAACCACTCACCCACAATACAACCACTCACTCACAATACAACCACTCACCCACAATACAACCACTCACTCACAATACAACCACTCACTCACAATACAACCACTCACCCACAATACAACTCACCCACAATACAACCACTCACTCACAATACAACCACTCACAATACAACCACTCACCCACAATACAACCACTCACCCACAATACAACCACTCACCCACAATATAACCACTCACCCACAATACAACCACTCACTCACAATACAACCACTCACCCACAATACAACCACTCACCCACAATACAACCACTCACCCACAATATAACCACTCACTCACAATACAACCACTCACTCACAATACAACCACTCACCCACAATACAACCACTCACCCACAATACAACCACTCACTCACAATACAACCACTCACCCACAATACAACCACTCACCCACAATACAACCACTCACCCACAATACAACCACTCACCCACAATATAACCACTCACTCACAATACAACCACTCACTCACAATACAACCACTCACCCACAATACAACCACTCACCCACAATACAACCACTCACTCACAATACAACCACTCACCCACAATACAACCACTCACTCACAATACAACCACTCACCCACAATACAACCACTCACTCACAATATAACCACTCACCCACAATACAACCACTCACCCACAATACAACCACTCACCCACAATATAACCACTCACTCACAATACAACCACTCACCCACAATACAACCACTCACCCACAATACAACCACTCACCCACAATACAACCACTCACTCACAATACAACCACTCACCCACAATACAACCACTCACCCACAATACAACCACTCACCCACAATACAACCACTCACCCACAATATAACCACTCACTCACAATACAACCACTCACTCACAATACAACCACTCACCCACAATACAACCACTCACCCACAATACAACCACTCACTCACAATACAACCACTCACCCACAATACAACCACTCACCCACAATACAACCACTCACCCACAATACAACCACTCACTCACAATACAACCACTCACCCACAATACAACCACTCACCCACAATATAACCACTCACTCACAATACAACCACTCACTCACAATACAACCACTCACCCACAATACAACCACTCACCCACAATACAACCACTCACTCACAATACAACCACTCACCCACAATACAACCACTCACCCACAATACAACCACTCACCCACAATACAACCACTCACCCACACACAAGCGCGCTTCCTCACCACCACCACCGCACAGCCACGCTGTGGATGTACTCACCGCTCGGCGCGGGGTCTTCCCTCACCAGGGTCTCCCCTCGCCTCTCACGCGGGGGGGGGGGTCCCCTTGCCGGGGTCTCCTCTCATGCAGGGGGTCTCACCGGGGTCTCCCCTCGCCTCTCACGCGGGGGGGGGCCTCTCAATCCCCCTTGCCTCTCAAAGCTTCGAGCCCCGCGTCCGCCGCGACCGCGCATGCGCGAGAGTGGAGGGGCGGGACCTGAGAGCGGGAGGGGGGGCTCAGAGCGGTGGGCGGGGCCTGCGTGCCCTGTCACGTGACTCGTTAATTATTCGATTCCATCGTGTCAATTACTTTTTCACGATGTCAAGGAACTGTGCACTTCGTTTATTCACGCATTCATTCACATCGGGAACGCATTAACACCACGGTGGAGAGATGTGAACTACCTCGCCCCGTATACACAAGATCGCGGGTTTGACCCCGACCATTACGCCTGTGGAAAGGGACTCCTCTATTTACGAACGAGTTAGGTTCCAGAGGTCTGTTCGTAAGTCGATTTGTTCGTAAGTCCAACTTAACTCCTGTCGATTCCAAACGTGTTGTACGGCACGAACAATAAACACGGGGAATGGCTTTAAAAGTTGTATAACCTCCAGTAGATGTAGATGCCACTGGTTCTTTGTATTATGTAGATGAAATTTGCCACTGGTTCAACACATTCTGCAGATTTAGATGCCACCACCGCCATCGATTGCGCAACTCTCGGTCCGAACACGCAGCCGGAAATACGGACCAAATTTGTTCGTATCTCTGAAAGTTCGTAAATCGAATGTTCGTATATTGAGGAGTCCTTATATTTGGAGTTTGCGTGTTCTCACCGTGGTCGCGTGGATTTTTCTCGGGGTGCTCCGGTTTTCCCCTCCCACAGTTAGAAACAGTCGTTGAGAGTATTTGGCTGCTATAAATTCCCACCACACGATAAGTCACTTCGTTGAGCTATCATTACGTGGAGCCAGGTCGCTTCTGAAAAAATGAGCTGCTTAGCTTCGTGAACCTTACCTGGTAAAGTAAAACATAGTTTAGTTTATATAATATATTTTTATTATTTTATTGTTTCCCTTCTACGTGACTTTACCGAAAGAACCAAGAATATTAATCCCTGCAGTCACGAAAGCTTTAAATCAAATATAGTTTAGTTTATTAACTTGTGTCAAAAACTCATTTGTTCCAGCCAAATGAGCATTCATGTCAGGAACTCACCCGCTCATTCCAGCCAATAACTAATTCTTTCGAGATAATCACGCATTCGTGCATTAGGGCAAATAATAACGCGATCATATCATATCAAGCCTGGCGCTTCTAAAGGCCGAAAGCGAGAAGACAAATAGTCCTATTCATATTCTTAGCTCTTTCGGTAAAGTCACGTTGAAGGGAAACAATAAAATAATAATATATATAAAACAATAAAAATTATCACGACGTTTCGACCATAACACAAACGGTCGTCATCAGGTGTGTCGGTCCGCATTAATTTATTTATTTTAACGGTGTATTTATTTATTTTAAAAAAAACGTCAGCGCCACGCGCAGCGATTTGGCAGTTTATTTAGAAGGACTAGTCCATCTATGTTCTGAAAAGAGGAGGGGGGAGACGAAAAATTAATGTATGCTGTCTGAAAGCCACTGTAAGCGTGAACAATCAATTAAGACCTGAAATGGTTAATCAAATCTTTCCAATGATTGCTAAGCCAGAATCCATCTTCTCGGTTGAAATTGTCTCTGTGCTTGTATATGTGGATAGCCTCATGAACGAATCTCTCATGGTAGCCAGATGGCTTACAAAGAACCTCTCTCTTGGAAAAGTCAATGTCATGTGAGCCTACTGAATTATAACAATGATCTGCACATTACACACACATTACATAAAATCCGTGATCTGGTTCCGTCTGTAAAATATGTGATTCCGGACATACAGTACCCTGGTGTCTACAAACTAAGTTGCCTCTGTGGTAGTAGTTACATTGGAGAAACCAAACGCCATGTCTCAGACCGCATTCGTGAACACAAAGCAGACCTTAAACACGGTAGGACCAACACCTCGGCCGTGGCAGATCATTGTTATAATTCAGTAGGCTCACATGACATTGACTTTTCCAAGACAGAGGTTCTTTGTAAGCCATCTGGCTACCAGGAGAGATTCGTTCATGAGGCTATCCACATATACAAGCACAGAGACAATTTCAACCGAGAAGATGGATTCTGGCTTAGCAATCATTGGAAAGATTTGATTAACCATTTCAGGTCTTAATTGATTGTTAACGCTTACAGTGGCTTTCAGACAGCATACATTAATTTTTCGTCTCCCCCCTCCACCTTTTCAGAACATAGATGACCTAGTCCTTCTAAATAAACTGCCAAATCGCTGCGCGTGGCGCTGACGTTTTTTTAAAATAAATAAATACACCGTAAAATATAAATTAATTAATGCGAACCGACACACCTGATGACGACCGTTTGTGTTATGGTCGAAACGTCGTGATAATTTTTATTGTTTTATATATATTTTATTACTTAATTGTTTCCCTTCAACGTGACTTTACCGAAAGAGCTAAGAATATGAATTACTGCAGTCACGAAAGCTTTAAATCAAAATTTACAAATAGTCCTCTCACGCCATGTGGAATATGCCCAGCCTATGCTAAGCAATAGCGGTGTTGGCCACGTGACTGTTGCAGTTCAGCGCTGTGGAGGCAGCAGCGAGTGTTAGTGGATCACAGCAATGTCGTGAAACCCCCTGCGATGTGTGAGCGTCGAGGAGGCAGCCATACTCTGGCTTGCCAGGAGAAGCCGGCTGAGCACAAATTGTGGACGAATACCTGTACTATCCATTTGTATGGGATAGAATGTAGCTCCCTCTCACATGTAGGTTCTCTCATTACTCGTTAATTACCGTTCCCTTGGAATCACTCGTTGATTCCATCAGCCGTGTTGAGTACTTGGTCTACCCACTTGTGATGCCGCCGCCACGGAGCCGATCGGCGGGTGGCCCACCTGCGATCTCGCCGCCCCCGAGCGGCGAGGCCGACATTGCTCCACCTCACCACCCCCCCACCCCCCCCCCCCACCGAAATACACACGCACGCACTCCCCCCACCATTAGAGCGCGTGGGGAGACACCCTGGCCGACAGGTTTTCACCCAGAAGCCCTCGTAAAGGGATAATCTTCACGGTTTCCTGCGGCCAGGGAATTGGACGGTCTCCTCCGACGCTAACACACACCGTGGCGCCGTGACTTGAGTAGAAATGACATGTTCACGGCGGGGCTGCCCCGCCACCGCGGTTAGTACGCACCTCATGCACACGGGTCGGCAGGGCAGGTAGGGGGGAGGGCGGAGCCACGAGCGGCGGGAAAGCAGGGTCGCCCTCTGGTTGGATGGCCGCTGAGCAGGTAAATTTAGATGCGGACGTCGCTGAAAGCAACGGCCCGGGGGATGCTGGGATACAGATGGGCCTACCGATTGGCGGGTGATCCCAGCGAGCTGATTGGCCCGCGAGTCGGCACCAGTTAGCCCCTTTGATGTAGAAAGAATAAAGCGGGTCAGGGCGAAGGGAAAAAGGTCTCTGGCTACTCGAGTCAACCCCAGGCCCGTCAACTCCCGAGTCCAGCCGCGCGAACGTCCGTGGGACGTATCGACGCGCCGTGAGGACCAGCCGACAGTGACGACGAACCGTGAGTAAGAGAGGGAGAGAAAGAGGGAGTTGGGGCTTAAAAAGAAAACCTGAGAGGGTTAAGGGGAGAAGGACAGGTAGAGTATAGTGCCGACTATCGAGAGATAGATTGGTCCTGCCCCGCTGATCCCGACTGACTCGGTTAAATAAGGGCTCGCCGACCCGGTGGAATAAATCGTCGGCGATTAAATAACGGACTGGTGTGGTTTTTGCGAGGGTTTGGAAAGAGAGTGGAAGCGTGGGTGCGTTTGCTGTTCGCGGTGGTCGCCGCATGTGTGGAGCGGCGCCGCGTGTGGTGTGTGCGCTACAAACCATCGGCTGCGGACTCCCACGTTGCGAGCGGATACCCATCTCGCACGCATGCCCATCGCATAGTCCTTTAAACCCATTTAATCCAATCCCCCCAATCGCCGGAGTGGGTACGAACGACGTCGCTTACCCTCCGACCTCTAACCCCCTGTTACCCGCGTGTGATTGGTGCGTGGGACTGCGCGGGCGGGGAGCGTCGCGTTCGGGTGCCGGCGAAGCGCTAGCGGGTCCCAGGGCGGTCGAGGGTGATGCCTCACCGGCAGGAAACCCGGACTCGGGGGGGGACAGCACAGGGGCCGGAACAGGAGCGCGGCGACCTTTCCCCGCCCGGTGAGGAGTGCAGCGGCGGCAGCTCCCACACTAGTGGAGAGTCTGGGGGCGTCGGTACTTCGTGGACAGGGTCGCAGGCAGGAGAGATCCCGGGGGCCGACGACCCCAACATAATGGTGTCAGAGGTGGTACGATCCCCCGCACCCCCAAGGGAGAGAGGCGCCCCACCCCAGGCTAAGATAAAATGCACGTTCACGGGCAAGGGGATTCCGTCATGGAAATCGTTTGCCCGCAGCATCAGAGGTGCGAAGAATTTAATGGCTGGACGGACGCGGAGGCGTTGCAGCAGCTGGAGATGCACTTGGATGTGCGGGCAGCCGACTTTGTAGAGGCTTTGCCCGCAAGCGCACAAACCCAGTGGGGGGAATTAATGCGCCGGCTTGAACTACGCTTCGGCACGCATGATGAGGAGGAGGCGCAGGCGGCCTTAGAGGCGCGCCGCCGCCAACCCGGTGAGGATTTGCGAGATTATGCCGAGGATGTGCGCGCACTAACCCGGATCGCGCACCTGGAGTATGAGGCGAAAATAATTGATGACCTCGCCACCGGGAAGGTACAGCGATATTTGATGCTTACCCCGTGGTGGCAACAAATGTAGACGGGGCGCGCCTCCCCTTCGACACCCTTGTCGAGCGCGCGCGTAAATGTGAGAAGCTCTCCGGTGAGCGCACGCAGCCCCGAGGGTGGGGACGGGAGTGCGCCGTGGCGAGCTTAATCTCCGGCGAGGAGGAAGAGGAGCTCGCCATCGTGACAAGGGGACAGGCAAGGGAGCCCCCGAGACCCCGGGAGGCAGTACCCGGATGGGTAGCCGGGATACAGACCAGCATCGGGGGGATGGAGGACAAAATGGACCGAAGTATGACCAAGCTGCAGTCCTCCGTCGGGACCATCCAGTCCGA